GAATGGGGACCTTGCGGGGACCCGCGCTCCACCCACGCTGCTCCTCCTCACCGCTTCCCTTCTCGGTGCTTTGAGCCGGTCTGGTCTGCGAATGGGAAAACTTCACACGGTGAAATCCGTCGGTAGACTTTGAAAAGGCCATTGCAGAGAGGCCTTGGGTATTTCTCCATTGGCCTCATTAGAACCTGATCAAAACCAAGCGAGCTTGTTAAGTTAAAGGACTTTCTGTTCTCAGCCTCCTCGGCAGCGGCTCTCCGAGGACACGGGGGAGGAAAAAAGGATCCTCTTCAGTATCTTGTGCACCTCTTGTTTTCGCAGGAACTACAGTGCCTGCGCTGCTGAACAGCACTTCAAACCAGCTCTATCTGCATTTCTATTCGGATATCAGCGTCTCTGCTGCCGGCTTTCACCTGGAATACAAAAGTAAGAGCAATTCAGCCTTGATCTCGCGGTTCCTCTGAGCAATGGGGAAACCGTTACAGAGCCGTTCCCTTGTCGATGTGGGAGCTGCTTAGTGGGGAAGGGGCGGTGAGCATTAAGGCCCATGGTTACGTGGTTCCCTGCTGCAGCATTGCAGAGAGGGAGTGAGCGTTAAATGGGGAATGGATGCAGCAGAGGAGATGTGGGGTCGTGGGGTGGCCCTGGTCTTGCTGCTGATGCAATTCCATAGCACCTGGGTGTTTTCTGGAGCGCAGGAGGAGTTGTGGAGGCCAAAGGGTTAAAAATGCATGGAGAGTCGGCCTGTTCAGCTCAGTGCTGTGGTCTTTGCTGGGAAAGTGCCTAAAATGATGCTTGGCAGAGGTTGGGAAGGCCTGGGCCTGCTCTTTGCATTCAGCATCGGTCACTGCTGGACGCAGCGTGCAGGGCTGGACAGGTCTTCATGCGTAATTCGGTTTGGAGGGACCTCAGAGGTCGCCTCATCGAACTTCTGCTGGACGCAGGGTCAGATAAGAGAGAAAACCAGGTTACTCACTTGATGCAGTCTGTGCTTGGAAAACTCCAAGGATGGAGAGGGCACAAACACTGGGCAGCATTTTGACACAGGGTGAGCACTGCAGTCCCCGCCGGCCTGGAGCGCCTCTGCTGATCTTGGTCCACTTTATCTATGGATTTCTTATGCTGACTGTTATATATGGTGATATACAGAGACTGTGTTTAAACAAAGACACCCTCAGCGGGAAGAGAACAAACCTGTCTGAAACTGGAAGACGTGGCAGGGAAGAAAGGGAGTCTCTTGGGAAAGTGCTGTCAGGTTTGCGTGAGGATGCCAAAAATCCATCCTCCCCCGTGTCTGTGTTGTGATTCCTGCTATTGGAGCAGATGTCCATTTGGGACCGGTGTGCTGCAGCCCATGGTGGCTGTTACCCACTGATGGGACTGTGCCAAGGGCTTGAAGTATTCAGATGCAGTCCAGCAGCACGGGCAGGGTGCAGGCCAGCAGGTACAGAACAGCAGCTCTCTTCAGCACAGCTAAATTGAATGTTTAGGTAGCAGGCAGGAACACGAGCGGGCTTGTGCATTTGCAGTGTGGTGAGGGTACGGGTGCAATGGGGCCAGGAGCTGGTCTGGTCCTTTTGCAGCTCTTTGGGGACTGATTAATGTGTGGGGATGGTCTGGTTGATGCATGGGGATGGTCTGGCCCCATTCGATGGGAGCTGATGAGGGATGTGCTGGGTCTGCGTGCTCAGTCTTCCTCGGGGCAATGCAGATGTAATTGTTTCTTGCTGGACACAGCATCTGACAGTTGGTTCTGATCACAAACCTTGTGTTTGTCTCTGAAGCCAACCAATGTTCTGTTTCGTTTTTTCCGAAGCTGCAAATGGATTTGAGAGCCCGTTTCATTTGGTAAAGCATCCCCAGGAATGGCAGAGCCATTTGACTGCAGAGACTCTGCTGTCTGGGAGCCAACTCGCACTGAGCTTTCCAGGTTTTACTGGGTTTGCAGGTTGAAACCTTGCACATTAACAGAGCCAGCAACATTACAGCAACCAGCAAGACTGGGGAGAGACAGCGTGCCCCAGATGGCTCCCGGGAGCTGGAGAAATGGATATCGCTTTAGAAATCCTCTTGCTGCCACTCTGTTTCCTCTCCATTTCTGTTCCAATCAATAAGTTCTTTGAGGATGCGTTACCCCACTGCAGCGATCACGTTCAGGTTTTTCATGAGGCTGGGGATTATCAGGCTTGTTTGGTTTCTTTGCTGAAGAAAATTAATCGGTGTTGATTTTCAGGGCAGCCGGAAATGAGACATTTTTTGCCTTGCTTGTACAATTCCGATTTCACAGCACTGAGCCCCAGGTTTTGTCTTTGGTCGGTGAGAGGTGCTGCGAGGAAGTTTGGAGATGAGCTAAAACCCAGTTTGTTTCCTGCCCTGTTTCCCTCCCCAGATTCCTCAAGCAAAGCTCTTACCTCTGCACACTCAAGAGCCAAAGCAGAGCAAGAACAATATAGGAGTGAGCGAAGCTCCGTGCCCACTGATCTGAATGGGAAGTTATTTAAAGCTGTTTTCTCTCTCGTCTCTCTGAAGGTCAAGCAGCGCAGCCGTGTGAGAGGAGGGGGGGCCCACGTGTGTTCTTGCTGGGAAGCGTGATGGGGTTTCAGGAGGAGAGGCAGCATTTCCTCGTGCTTTTTGGGGGTTTTTGTCATCTGCTTTTGGCTCAGCCCACAGGGTTCAAGGTGCATGTTAGCCCCTACAGCGATGCAGGGTTATGTGGTGTTGGTGGGTTTATCCCCGTTAGGTGTTGTGTGAGGAAGAGGGGGTGGTGTGTGTGTATGGGAGAGTGTGGTGCCCGACTGCAGGGATCATTAATTGGCTTTGCAGTGGGGTATTTCTGGTTGTGAATGGAGCTCAGATGGAAACGGGATTGAATGAAATCCTTGTAGGCTGTTCCGCAGGCAGCGCCGAGGATCGGGCAGGGTTTCTGCTGCTCTTGTATCTCCCGGTAAATTCAGTCTGTAATTGAAAACAGGAAGAGTAGGGTTGGAGAGTGAAACCGCGTTGCTTCTGCCCAGAAAGAGACAAATTACCCATATCACGTGCTGTGTGCCCTTGATGTTCCCAGCGAGGGACAGCAGATGTAAAGTTCCCTGTGCATCCTCTCCCGTCTGCTGTCGGATGCTGCCTGGTTGGTAAAGGAGTGTACGGCATAACACAGACACGGACCTCTTTCCTTTTACATAAGGAAAAACTTTTCACATAAGGACAAACTTTGTCAGTGTGAGGGTGCAGAGCATGGCCCAGGCTGCCCAGAGAGGTTGTGGAGTCTCCTTGTCTGCAGACACCCAAAGCCCTGGCCATGTTCCTGTGTGACTGCTCTGGTGATCCTGCTCTGGCAGGGGTTGCACTGGGGGAGCTTTCCAGGTCCCTTCCAACTCCTCATGTTCTGTGACCTCAGATGGGGAGGGTTGATGACTGGGAACGAGCTGGTCCTTGTTTTGTGGGTGGACGCGCTGGTGCAGATGCAGCTCTCCCAGCAATTCATTAGGGTTTGGTCAAAAATGTTTCTGGCCACGAATCAGGAGACGATTTGTGATGCCTTTGTATATTAAAAAAGTGCGTTCCAGGTACAGCGAAGGCACTGGATGTGAATACCTCTGGGTACTGCACGTACCCTGCAAGACAGGGGAACACTGCGGGATCAGGGGTGTCCCTGTGCAGAACCCGAATGCCATGGGACTTTCCCAGCAGTCAGTGGTGGAGGTGGTTGGTAAACGGGGGATGGATAACACCGAGGTGTGCGTTTCCATTCCCTCTGCCGTCAGCGCAGACCCCGTCCCTGCTCCTCTCATCCCCTCTTCCCTTCGCAGCCGTCGGTCTGTCCAGCTGCCCCGAGCCCCCCGTTCCCGGGAACGGCCTCAAGATCGGTGAGCGCTACTTAGTGAACGACGTCGTCTCCTTCCAGTGCGAACCAGGCTACGCACTTCAGGTACAGAGCCTTGGCCAGAAATAAGGGTGAGGACAAACACAGGGGGTACAGGGAGAGCCCCCAAACCCTGTGTCGTGCTTTTCTCTCCTCCAGGGCCACTCTCACATCTCTTGCATGCCTGGCACCGTCCGCCGCTGGAATTACCCACCGCCGCTCTGCATCGGTAGGAGTCGTCTTCTTTCGCACCTATCAGATAATAATAGCACTTTTCTGAAAAAAAGAGAAGGTAAAGGTCTGAGTGAGAAGTGCAGGTTTGCTCTGGAAGCGAGATAAAGCGTGGAAAAGCCTTCATTCGTTGCAAGATGTGATTTCAATGCACGAGTCCCTGCGGGCTGCCCAGAACGCTTTGTTGTGAGCGGTTAAAACGTGGCTGTGGTGTAAAATGTAAACGACAAAAGTGGTGCCTTAAAAATTCATTCAAAGGGAAAACCGAAAAGTTCTTTATACCGAATGCAGGTTGGTTTTAGGCATCGAGGCGGGGGGGTTTCCATCTTAAGCAAAGATCTGTGGACTGTGGTTCGTTCTTATGAAACGCATCTTGGTATCACTAAAACCTCATCTTTTACTGGCGCCTGTTTATCCTCCCAGTATCTCCAAACTGCGATATTTTCCCCATGGCACCCTGAGAGGTGCAGGGCTGGGACCCCTGAGTGTTTGAGGAGAAAAGGAGCAGGCGATTTCCACCACGAAGCCCTAGGAGAAACCGCCCAGAGGTGGAAGGGACTTGCTGGAGTTTCTGGATTATTTTCAGTATTTTGCTTTTAGCAAATCTAGATGTTTAATATTCATACTGCACATTTTACAGCTTTGAGAGAGACATTTATGCATTTAATAGCTTTAGTTAACAGTTATTTCAGGCTCCTGCTGTTCTAGCTTACATCATTTTGCTTTAAAGTAATTATAAGAGCCAACAGTTCTTTTATCCGATGATCTGCAGGCCAGGAATAAATACAGAGACATTTAGGGCAGAATGACTGAGCTAAAGGACTCGTACCCATGGGAGCTGCTCTGTAAGGCACCAGCAGCCCTTCAGCCCAGCATTAGAGTTGGGGCATCCGAGCTGTGTTATCGCCTCGATGATGGAGCTCAGCAACTGCAAGTTTGAATTTTCTTCTTTTAGTCAGCCTCAGTGACCCATTTCTGTAGGGTTTTGCCTGGTTGGGCTGTGCTGGGCGCTGTCACGGTGTAAAATCAGCGTGGTTTAATTTAGGTGCCCTGTTTCGGGCAGCCGTGACCGAGTGCCGTGGCACAAATGCCCGTCCGTGCGCATCCCTCCCATGGCATCAAGCCTGGCTGGACAAGCTCATTCAAGTGCGGATCATGAGTGACCGTGGGCATTTCTGGGGATGCCCAGCACCCCACACTGTCAGTCCTGAGGCTCCTTGTCCTGTGCCAACCATGCATGGATGTCCCCAAACCCAGAGCACCGCTGGCTGCTTGAACCCAAGGCGTTGGCATTGCCCTGCTGGGAGAACAGCTTGCTGCCCTAGTGAAGCGTGCTGCTTTTCTTTTGGTCCGCTTCATCCAGATGCTTGGCTCCTAAATAATTTAGAAGTAGTTCCATTAAAGAGCCATTAACAGGGGAAAAGAAAGAGAAATCTTCTGGGAGAAACCTTGTTAGCAGCGAGTACCCACGTAATGAGATATTGGACAAGGGGACTCAGTGCCTTCGCTGTCAGAGGAGGACACCTGGGTGTTTTTGGCTGGGTGCTGTTACCGTAATGAGGTGGAGGTCATCCAATTAAGCGTGAGAAGATGCTACCTGTGTTTAAATTTCGTGTGAAGCCTTTTGTAAACATATTTTGTGCTGTCAGCTGTGGATCCCTTCTTGGGAGGGAATTTACTTCAGTCAGTGTGCAAACACCGCGCTGTATTTACCAGTAATTGCCCAGAGATTGACAGGTACAGCAGTCAAGGTAGATCGGTTAACCAGAAAAAGCAGCAGCGCTAACCGGAGTCAAAACAGGCTCAGTCTGTTTCTTCACAGCACTTTTCGGAGGTGGTTAAAAATCCAAACGAGCGCTGCGTGCGCGGTGTGCGCTGTTACGACGTCTGTGGGCAGAACAGAGCGTCCGTCTCCTCTCTTGCTGCTCAGATCTGTCTCTCCCACTGTGATTGCCCACGCTGGAGCTCTGGGCCTGGGCTTTTATCTTCAGAGGGCAGGAGCGAGGTCCATGCATTAGTAATGTGGCCATGCAGCGCCTGCCAAACTCGCTGCTACTTCCACAGCAGGCTTTCCCTATTCTCTTCTTAGTTTTTAATTTCTTGACTTCCCACGCAGCTGGTTGGCCACGACCGTCATCCGGAAAAGAGCCATCAGCGATCCTGACCGTTAACGCTCTTGATTTTGCAGCCCAGTGTGGAGGAGCAGCGGAGGAGATGGAAGGGGTGCTGCTGAGCCCCGGCTTCCCGGGGAATTACCCCAGCAACCTGGACTGCACGTGGAGGATATTGCTGCCAGTGGGCTTTGGTGAGAGAGCTGCTCTTGGTCTGATACTACCAAAAACTGGAATATTGTGTCCAGTTCTGGGACCCTCAGTTCAAGAAGGACAGGAACTGCTGGAGAGAGTCCAGCGTAGGGCTACAAAGATGATCAAGGGAGTGGAGCATCTCCCTTCTGAGGAGCGGCTGAGGGAGCTGGGGCTCTTTAGTTTGCAGAAGAGGAGACTGAGGGGAGACCTCATTCATGTTGATAAATATTTAAAGGATGAGTGTCACGAGGATGGAGCCAGGCTCTTCTCGGTGACAAACAATGATAGGACAAGGGGTAACGGACACAAACTGGAACACAGGAGGGTCCACTTCAATTGGAGAAGAAACTTCTTCTCAGTGAGGGTGACAGAGCCCTGGCCCAGGCTGCCCAGAGAGGTTGTGGAGTCTCCTTCTCTGCAGACATTCAAAACCCGCCTGGACGCCTTCCTGTGTAACCTCATCTGGTGTTCCTGCTCCGGCAGGGGGATTGGACTGGATGAGCTTTGGAGGTCCCTTCCAATCCCTGACGTTCTGGGATTCTGTGATTCTGTGAAAAACGAGATGATGATGGGAAGATCCCGTCCCTGGTCAGTCAGTGCTGGGTGCTTTGCTTGTCAGGATGAGTTACAGAAAGTCTGTTGTTTGACCTCCTGATCACACTTTCCATTAAAGATGCGTTTATATGGTGCTGTGAAATGATGAGTAATTTTTAGAAAGGTGATTGCAGAGGGAGAGAGGGAGGCCAGCAACCTGAAACTGCTGGCATTAATAACCTGAGTTTGTCTGAAACCAGCAGGACCCATGTACCTGTACGCACCCTCTACCCCCAGTGCAGTAAATACTCTCCTGATTGACTGGGATGTACTGGGCATCACTGGGTGAGTGGGGCTGAGGTGCTAAGGCTTGGGTACAGCCTTATAGACCACTCATTCCTCCTCTCCAGGTGCTCACATCCAGTTCCTAAACTTCTCCACCGAGCCCAACCACGACTTCGTTGAAATCCGCAACGGGCCCTACGACACCAGTAACGTCATCGGGCGCTTCAGCGGCACCGAAATCCCCGGCTCCCTCCTGTCGACGTCCCACGAAACCACCGTGTACTTCCACAGCGACCACTCGCAGAACAAGCCGGGCTTCAAGCTGGAGTACCAAGGTGAGGAGGCCACCGAGTGAGCAGCAGAGGGACAATCCTGTCCCCAGGCGCTAATGGTGAGGGCGGGAGAGAGAGAGGGTGTTGTCACGGTTCTTGCTGTTCTGTTGAATTAATTCCACGAGGACTTAATCCAAATGAGCAGAACGGTGTTACGTGAAGGCCGTGCTTAATCCTAATAACTGGGATCCGTTCACCTGGACTTCTGCCTACGGCAAATAACAAATGTTCCTAGAGTGCTTGGTGACAGTGAAATGCCTTTGAATTAATTCCAGCCAGATTCACTCAGATCTTGGCTCTGTCGGCTGTTGTGTGCGAAGAGAAGAGTCCTCAGCAGCCACAGGTCTGCTCTGGGATTTTGGAGCTGCTTCTCAGTCCAAACCTTGTGTTAGGGCAGGCTGCTGGGGGAGACTGGGTAAATAACCAAATTTGGGTGCTGAGGGCAGTTTGGGTGCTCTATACTGGTTTCCATTAGGATGAGCCAAGTGCTCCAGCTCCTGCCTGAGAGATCGGAGAGGGGGAAAGATGGAGCGTGTGTCTCCAGCCGTGCGACACAGCCAAGGACTGACAAAGGGCTGACTCCCCAGAAATAGCAATGAAAGCCGCTACTCATACTTAATTGAAAACATTAATTTTGTCTCGGCTGTCCTGTTCACGTGCCGTGTAATTCATGCGCCGCTGCACAATTTAGGAAGGAATGTGCTCTGTGAGGCAATCTGGGTAATCTCATGGAAATTGCTATGCAAATTAGCTCTAGCAGGGCTGACCAGTGATTTATAATGCCAGGTGGAACATGTTAACCCATCCACTTGCATTCGTCATCAAGGTTGGCCACACTTTGCTGAAAACCAAGGCAAATTTCCCAATGAGAAGTGAAGTGAAGTGACTCTGTGCATCCAGGCTGGATGGAGCAGTCAGAGCCCAGTGCTCCCATCCAGGGTAGTGGGATCTTCCCTCGGCCTCCCTGCAGATGTGTGCACAGTTCATTAAAGTTTATCTCCTTCAATTAAGCCATTGCATGAGGAGGAAGTAGCCAAGCAGCGCAGAGAATGTTCTGTTCCTGCTTTTGGGAGAAAATATGAAGTATGAACTGTTCCTCCATTAGTTTCTTCGTTTTTTTTCAGCCTACGAGCTGCAGGAGTGCCCTGACCCTGAGCCTTTTGCCAACGGTGTTGTCAGAGGAGCCGGTTACAACGTTGGCCAGTCCATCTCTTTCGAGTGCCTGCCTGGCTACCAACTGATCGGCCACCCCGTCCTGACCTGCCAGCACGGCACCAACAGGAACTGGGACCACCCATTGCCCAGGTGTGAAGGTATGGCCTTGGGGTCACCCTGGCGGGCATTGCTGGGGATGGGAAAGGCTTCAGCTTGCTGTTCTTGGCCTTTTTTTTTAATTTTTGTCTTGTAATTGGCTGAAAGTTTCTCAGGAAACAAAAGCATCGCTGGAGGCAGGCTGGGAATGTTCACTTTGAATAAAGCCTCAGCCCCTGAGGTGTTGAAGGGTGTTCTCATTGAGCCGATGTTCAACATGATTCAGCCTGGTCAAAGCGAACGTTTTGAGCTGTTCAGAACCTGGGGTGCACCTTTTGAGGTGGTGTTTTTGGATCTCGTGCTTTGGGTGAGGACAGTCTCTGTCAGTCTCACTGGGAGCTGTGCTTTCAGAGCGAAGCAGGCCAGGGTGGCTGTAATAATCACTCATCTGATTTATTTCTTCAGCAGTATTCAGCTTCCCTTGATTTAGCATTGGTAAATAAAAACAGTGCCTGGTACAAGACATTGCGGCTCTGGGGGCTCTTAGGATTGTGTCCCTGTCTCATTTCCTTCATGTGGCAATGATGGCATCTCCAAAGTGGTCCCTATGGGAGGTGTTCAGTGACCTTGCTTGGTCTCCTCCTGCAAACCAGGAGTGCCAGGAGGACCCCGCAGGTGAAGGAGGGGATCTCTGTTCAGGCATCGAAGCTCATGTGTCCAGATTCACTTTCCACACCCCACGAGGGCTGTTTCAGCCTTTCATCCTTTGGGCCCATGGACCGAGTTTTGTGTGGTTTACTTTAGAAGGTTTTCAGCTCTGAACCCTTGAGAAGTTCAAGGCTGCTTATCGAAGATTTCCCACCGCAGCTCCCCAGAGCTCTGACCTTTATCGCAGCCTCTTTGCAGCACTGGGCCTGCAGGAGCTGAGCGCTGGGGGGAGAGAGAGGTGATATTTTTCCTCTTTTTAAGTCCTAAGTCCTTGAACCCCAGAGAACACAAAGCATAAAGAACCAAATCCTCAGCTGATCTTTCCTGACCCCAGAGACCTGCGTTAACTGGGAGACCGCCCAGTTCCCACTGGGTGCTGCTGGGAGGGTGAGGCTGGTGCGAGCAGGGTGATGCCCTTATCTACCTCAGGCATCAGCTCTGCCAGCTACAGCCATCCAACCCTTCCTCCTTTATTGTGTGTTTTAAGTAGCTTTCATGCTCTGCAGCAGATCCGATAGCAGAGCGGGGTGAGGGGTTAGGTACATTTTGGACCATTTGCTTCTTTTCCCCTGTGTGCACATCTGGGGGGCTGTTAGTGCTGTTAAAATCAGCGCAGAACTTTCCCTTTCCTTAAATGGTCCATTTTTGCATAGCAGCGAGCAGCCAGGACTGGCTGCCTTAGGCTAACCTCACCTTCCCCACACGGGTCGCAGCTGAAAGCCCTTTTAATTAAAAGAGAAGCTGTAATTCTGCAATAAATGCACAGAGCCCGAGGTTTGCAGCACCTCTCCGGGGAGTTTTTTCCTGCCTGCTGCTTTGCAGGGCAGAAAGGAGCTTGGCCCCCGAGGTTCCTCGGGTGTTTGTTTCGGAAGAGGAGCATACGGAGTTATATAAATACACGTGCTTTTCTCAGCTTGGCAGCCCACGTGAGAAAGCAGAGCAGAACCGGGTGGTGAATACGGGAGCACATCTGGCACATCAGGTGGAAGGCTGCGGAGCTGCTCCCGCATGAAAAGGAGTGGGTGTTAGCACTGAGCCTGAATTAACGAGTTGTGTCGGGAGGGAGGATGCGTTGGCCTAAGCTGAGGGTTGGGTTAACGCAGCTCCACAGCTTCCAGACCAGAGCTGGCCCTGCAGCCAAGGCTGTCTGCGCTTACCCCATGCACTACGGATGTTGCCATCGTTTCAATTGAAGGTCCATGCCAATGAGGACCAGAGGCTGATGCTGGTGCATGGGACTTTGAGACCTGGGGACCTGCTGTGGCCCTTCAGCAGGGTGGCATTTGCCTGCCTGGTTCTAATTGCCTCTCTTCGGTTTGCAAGTTCATTTGGACCTGGAAGGTACCTGGCGCAACTGTCGGCTTGATTAATGAATTGGCTGCTGCTGTCATACAAATCATCATTTCCCCCCTGCTCGGATGTACCCGGTGAAAAGCCAGCTGCTCCGTGGTTCTGGTCCAGGCCGTGCTGTCTGAACAAGTTGGATGGATTTGCCCACTGGTGCGCTCTTGTCAGGAGCTGTATTTTCCATGCATGGGTGCAGACAGCTGGTGGAGCCCAAAGACTCTTTCTGGGGCATGAGACAGAGTTTTATTTGCACACCTGGCTATCGCATCTGTACAAAGCATCCTGGCAGTCTCCTCGCAGCTCTGAAGCGCTTAACAAATGTATTGTCACAGAATTAAGTTGAAAACGTTGGGTGTAGTTGTGACAGGCAAGAATTATTCAAGGCAAGCTAGGTCAAGCTTTTGGGGCTGGATCCTCCAGGATGGCTATCACTTTATCCAGAGGAAAAAGTGAGAAGGAGAGGATCTGTAAGAGTTATTGTTTTGGAGGATATTTCTTCATGCTCTGTGTTTCTGTTTGATTTCCTGCAGTGCCTTGCGGGGGGAACCTCACCACCCAAAACGGTACGGTTTACTCTCCCGGCTTCCCCAACCAGTACCCCAATTCCCAGGACTGCACTTGGCTCCTGACGGTGCCGGTGGGCTACGGAATCCACCTCAACTTCACCCTCCTGCAAACGGAGCCCTACAACGACTTCATCACCGTCTGGTGGGTACAGCAGAGGCCTGTTCCAGGTCTTTCTTACACTTAATTTCTGTGGTCACCAGCATTGAAAACAGAGCAGGTCAGACCCCTGCAGTGCCTGGGATGGCAGTCACTGGTTTACCAGTTACCACAGGTCCTGGGTGCTCTCTCTGCTGGTGCCTTCAGCCCCAAAATGCGCTGCTGAATGGAATAAGGCAACATCATCTTGGGAAGCCTAAAGGGCTTTGTAGAGGACACTTTATGAATGGTAAACGGGGTCTTTATCTCAAGCTGAATTCAGTTGAAATGAATCTTGTGCGGTCTCACATAATAGGAGTTGCCTTTTCCATCTTATTTTGCTGACAGACATTTTTATTGGGCTCAGTTTTTTCCCTTTCTGCACTTTATCTGTGGCTACCTGTCTATGGATGAATGAAGAAAAAGCCATTGGTAAACCATTTACTCTCACCAATGTCTTCTTTTGGGTTTTCTGTTGCGATCAGAGATGCGCAGCCCTAGGGTCCAGGCTGAGCTCCTGGGCTGCTCTGGCTGAAGAGCTCGTGGCCAAATTCTTGAGCTCGTAGCACTCGGTCAATATCTGAATTTCAAAATATCTCAGCATCTGCTGTGCAGACAGGGAGTGAAACCCCTTTGGAAAACGGGCCCTAATTCTTCATGTTCTGAGGTTAAAAATGAAGTTTGTGTTTGTAGCTGTCTACTGGGTAAGCGCTGTCAGAAGAGATTATACTGGTTGTAATGGAGTGAGGATGGGGACTGGGGCTCTGGTCCCAGTCATTTCATGGGGATGTAGAAAAGGGAGGACAAGGAAGGGGAGCGTGGAGGGGCTCCTGTGCGTGCAGCCTGGGAGGCTGGTTGTTGCCTGGGCTTAAAGACATCAATAATGCTCCTCTCTTGTGTTTCTGACCCATGCTTTTAGGGATGGTCCCCAGCAAACAGCTCCCCAGCTCGGTGTGTTCACTGGCAACTCCGTGAAGAAATCAGCCCAAAGCTCTTCCAATCAG